AAAAATACTTTTTATTAAAGAGTTTTACAATACTAAAAGATAATACAAACTGAAATCAGAAAAAAAAAGAATAGAAAGAAAAGAAATACAAAGTGCAAAAGAAAAAAAAATAGAAAAAAGAATATTTAAAGAAGTGACTCCTGATCTTCCTTGCAACAAGTACAGGCAAATTAATATTTCCCCATCCCCTATAAAATTACATACATAGTTCACTTCTTCCCATAACCCCCCCTTTATCCACTCACAAATCCAAAAATTGTCATTTCTGTCCAAGTGTCGGCAAAAATCCATAAAGGGTTTCCAGAATTTTATAAAAATATTTCTTATTTTTAACCTTGATCAAACAAGTCAACTTTATATTTATTTCTTTTGCTTCTGACAATCTTAATTTTTAATTCATCAAGTTGCTGTTGTAGGACAGAATCTCCATTCAAACGTTCTTTCTCCCATCTCAAAGATTTCTTCAAGGTTTTTAAAAACCCTCTTTTGTAAATCCAAAGATAAGTCCTTGCCGAGGTCCTTTTCCATCTCTTGATTTATCATTTGTATTTCCATTCTGACTCTCATCTCTGTTTTATAATCCACAATTTCTTTGTTTTCCAATATTTCTACATTAGCTGGGATTTGTATCCTCTCTTCATCCTTCTGTCCATAAGTTCTTCCATATTGTTGTCTATCACATCTTTCACTTCTTCTTTATAATCTTCTTCAAAAAATACATTTACAGGTACAGAAATTTATTTATATTTCAAATTTAGTTACTGCCCATCTCACTCAGCGAGCGACTCTGGGCAGTTTACAATAAAATAAGAATAAAAACAAAATATAATAAAACAGTAATCAGAAATGAATAATATAATCCAAGGGATTCATGGTGTAAATAAATTATCGACCTCTGGGAGCATCTTCAGGGTGCTAACCACCGCTAGGTTTGGTTACCCCTCCTCAAGCCCCATGCAAACTGGCAGAGTCAGGTCTTCATGCCTTTCTGGAAGGCCAGGAGAATGGGGGCTTGCCTCACCTCTGGGGGGAGAGTGTTCCATAGGGTGGGAGCAACAGCAGAGAAGGCTCTCTTCCTGGGACCTGCCAAGCAACATTCTTTAATTGACAGGGTTTGTAACATACCTTCCCTGCCTGCTGGGTGGGATGGGTTGATGTAATGGGGATCAGACAGTCCCTCAGTTAACCTGGTTCCATGCCATGTAGGGCTTTAAAGGTGATAATCAACAACTTGAATTGGACCTGGAAGTAGACTGGCATCCAATGCAGCTCCCGCAGCAAAAGTGTTACATGTGCCATCCTTGGGGCACCCAAAATTGCGCAGCTGCATTCTGAACCAGCCGTAGCTTCTGGATATTTTTCAAGGGTAGCCCCATGTAGAGTATATTGCAGTAGTCTATATGCCATGAGTGACTGATTGGAGGGCTTCCTGATCCAGGAAAGGGCATAATTGGTGCACAAGTTGAGCAAAGGCTCTCCTGGCCATGACTGCCACCTGCTCCTTGAGCAGGAGTTGTGAGTCCAGAAGAACCCTAAGATTCCACACTGGGTCTGTCTGAGGCAGTGTCACCCCATCCAGAACCAAAGAGGGTAAACTCCCAGATACAAAGGAGCCCCCAACCAACCCATAGCCACTCCATCTGACCAGGTTTCAGCTGAAGCCTGTTGTTCCCCATCCAGGCCCCCACAGTCTCCAGGTACCACGAAAGGGTGGCCACAGCATCACTTAAATCACCCAGGACGGAGATGTATAACTGGGTATCATCTGTATATTGATGATGCCTCATCCATGGTGGTGGATGATCTCATCCAGTGGTTTCATGTAGATGTTAAAAAAGTGCAGAGAGAGTTCCAAATCCTGTGGCACTCCACAAAGGAGGGGCCACAAGCTGGAACTCTTGCTCCCTATCAACACCGATTGGGACCAGCCCTGGAGGAAGGAGGTGAACCAGCACAGAACTGTGCCACCCACCCCCAACTCCCTAAGCCAACCCAAAAGGATACCATGGTCGATGGTACTGAAAGCCGCTGAGAGGTCAAGAAGACCAAGGATGGATGCCGTACCCCATCCCACTCCTGCCAGAGATCATCCAAAAGTGTGACCAATGCTGTTTTTGTCC